GGTAGCGTTCAGCTTCAGCTAAAGCACTGCCTATACCTAGGCTCAGGTTGGTTGTCCCAGTGAGTACATGGCAATTCCACGATCCTGCCACTTTCTCTCAGGCTCTCACTGGGCCTGATTCTTCCATCCTTTTTTTCATCTGCCATGACAGTGAAAGCTTTCCTTTCAAAGCGAAGCGGATGGCTCCCTAAACAGTGCTTCCATCAAGTGGGAGCATTGAAATCAAGGGGAAGTAGGGGTGTCCTGAGATGGTCTAGTGCATGCTTTTGTTAAAACTATTGAGTAAACACAAAGTGGAGGAAAGAAATCTCACCACGAAGAACTCATCGGCTCCCAAGAGTACACTGTCATGCCCAGTTTGAAAACTACAGCACTAGCCGGGCATCAGGTCACTGTGAGAGCAGATGGACTGGGCATCTTGCCAGGCTGGAGGGCGAGGTCAGGGAGGCTTCTGGAATAGGAGAAACTTAGGAATGAGAACTGTAATAACTAAGGTCGTTTTAGATTTTTGCCATAGAGTGCATATACTTCCCAGAGAGAGACAGAGACAGAGACAGAGACAGAAGGAAAGTAAGAAATCCACCCCTACCCCCTCCCGACCAGGGGGATGGCCATGCTGCAGTCCCTTCTCCATTCTCCTCTCAGGATTTTGGGAATGCGTGCACATGTGCTTAAGCTGCTGGGTCCAGGCTCGAACCACAGAGTGGGCCATGTGGGACCCAGCACCTCAACTGCCATGCCACCTGCTGGCCCCTATGATCTCTTTTTAATTGTACTTATGGCTTGTTTGATTTGGAGCTTCTTTTTAATCATTTGGTGCCAGGTTTCCTTATCAGTCTTCTGATGTGCCATATGGTTGGCAAACACCTAGATGGGGAAGTCGATGCCCATCTGTAACTCATACTGATAAAAAGCCAAGGTCTTCTGGTCACATGCGTGCCCATGACTGGGGCTGGCTGAAGCTGGAGTGGGTTGCATCATCAAGACCCCGTTGAGGGGGCTCTCTCTTCCTCTTTTCTCCTTTCTCTTTTTGACTCTCACTCATGGAAAATAAAAAAATCAATAAACTTAATAATTTTAAAAAAGAAAAAGTTTGAAAAACAGACTCTATCAGGAAACAACTTCCTGCCTAACTATAGATTGTTGATTTGTTTGATTTGTTTTCAAACTGGATGCTTTTAGTGTGTTAATACGTTTTGAATTGGGAGAGATACCACATGGGTTGCCCTAATAATTTAACTCAACAGCATGCAACAAAGAAGGCTTTATTCTTGATCATGTGTAGAGACCGTGTCTGCACTGGGGTAAACAGAATGTTGGCCTCAGTCACAGATACTATTTTGAACACAATAGAGACATTGTGATATAATTGTGAGCTGAGGCGGAGAAAAATTGGTCTACATTTTATGGGATAACCACCTTGATGTACGCATCATACCTGAGTGATAAAAAGCAAGGCCGACAATCCAGGACTTGCCTGGATTTGGGCCATTAGGTACCTTCCACCTTATCAGGTTCCTTTCCTCCAGTGGCTGAGCCAAGAATAAGAAGCCCTCGGTCAGTGGTTCACCAACACAGCTTTGACCCAGGTGGACCACCAGTCCTTGGACCTCTTGACCCCAGCACCTGCATCAAGAGAACAACCAAGAGTTTGGGAGGCAGTTTAAACTTTCAACTAATGGCACCCACTAGCTTCTTCCTGCCAGTGACAGCTAGTCTCCTCTTGCTTTGTTTCCTCGTCCCCTGAGGCTGATCTCCCAAGGGTTACCTCTGTTTAGGACTCATCTCTGCATACCTGCCTACTGCTCAGCAACATCTATTCACTCTCTATTTATCTTCTACATTTGCACCCCTCTTTTTACTTAATGATTTGCCTAAGATGCAGAGGAGACTTTACGCTTGCACTTTGATTGTTAGAATCTATTAAGTTGCCAGGAAAATCATGATGTATTTTTCTATGCAAAATGTGTCATGACTTTCCAGACAACTCAATATTCCATTGACTGATCACTGTAATGCCTTTTTTTTTTTTTTTTTTCTTTTAAAGGCTTTTGCCATAGGGTGCGTGTACTTGCAGGCTTGTCAGAGACAGAGTGAGAAGGGAAATGAGAAATCACCCACAGGGAAGATGGCCCTGCAGGAAGCCCTACTCTTCCATTCCCCTCTTGGGACTATAGGCGCGCACGCATACACACACACACACGCCTGGTGTGATTTTCAAGCTGCTAGGTCTGGGACTTGAATTGCAGTCAGCCACCTGGGAGTCCAGTACCTAAACCACTATGTCACCTGCTGGACCTGTAATGATATTTTTCTCAGAAAAAACTTGAAGAAAAGTGTAATCTAATATTTCTTCCCCACCCTTATGGTTTGTTCATGGGTGGGTATGTGATAGCTCTGTCTTAACTTTGTGACTTTTTGCCAGGTCCACATAATAGATGAAAACATTTTATGAAAAATGCCTCCAGGCCTTTGGTGCATTGGCTATGAACACCATGGAAAGGGTTCTAGGAGAATCCCTTTCTACTAAGATTCCATAGACTCTCTGGTTGGAAGAGATGATTCAAGTCAGTGGTTGACCAGGTGTTCGATGATTAAATCTTTGGTTTGATCCCATCCGATTGTTAAGAGCTATGGAGGGGGTTTATCCTAATTATTACATCTGGCCCTTCATCTGTTGGTCCTGACATTTTTTTTTTTTGGCGAGTCACTGGTACTGTCCCTCTGAGGTTGTGCTCTCCCACTGAAATTCATCCCCAGGTTCCACTGCTCCTCTCCTCTAGGTCCCACTGTTCCTGGAACTGAGGTGGTGTCAGGCACAGGGAATTCTAGCACATGTGATTGTCTACCTGCTCTTAAACAAGAATGCATGTCAAAATGTAGTGTCTATACAGAGGCCAGTCTCTGGCAAAGAGTAATAGAAGAGGACTCTCGCTTTTAGGTATCTTTTATTCTCTTCTAAACTATTCCCTATGTCTTTTGTTTTTAATTGTCAGAGGGCACATGTGTGAGACAGAGAGTGAAAGGCAGAGAGTGGAGGAGGGAGAAAGCACCCTCCAGTGGGACATGGTTATGCGGCCGGTGGTCCCGCGGCATGGTCACACGGCAATACCTTCTCTTCCATTTCTCCATCCTATCAGGATCTGGGGCACAGACACACATGCATCTGGTGTGTTTTTCAAGCTTCCAGGGCTGAGATTTGAACCATACAGTCAGCCATGTGGGATCTGGCTTCCTTAACCATGAAGTCACCTGCCCCCCCCCCATGTATTGAAATACCATTTCAGAAAAAAAGTTATGATTCTGCAATGTTCCATTGCATGAATTTAGCAGATCTTATATAAGCTCCTATTTTTGAGATTTAGGTTTTAATTTTGTTTGGTTTGGTTTTGATTTGTGGAAGATTATGGAAAACATTGACTTCTTGGAATAGCGAAAGGTTAACTACTTAAAATATAAATTTGGTTTAAATGGTTTGTCCTTGTCATTGATTTAGCAATCCATGGTGACAGTTATTTCAATCAATAAATATGGTTGTTTTTCTGAAATAATATATTATTTCCAGATGGGAAAAATGAATAAAGACTGTCATTGAAAAAGGAGATTTCTTGGGACCAGTAGGTGGTATGGTGGTAAAGGACACTGGATTCCTACTTGGCCAACTGCGGTACAAGTCCTGGACTTGGTGGCTGGTTTTCTCACTTTACCCCACCCCTTTGCTCTGTCCCTTTCTGGTCAAAATAAAAATAAATAAAGTTAAATAAAAGAATTATTTAAAAAAAGAAAAAAGTAGATTTCTTAAGTCATCAGTATTGTAACTATAGAATTTTATTTAATCGCTTTCCTTTAAAAGAGGTCAGTGCAAAGGCAATATTCTTATGTAGTACATTGATAGAGAAACGTAGAAACTTAAAAAATCTAAACCTAATTATAAACAAGCATCACTTTATACCTGCATTGTTTCAGCGACTAACTTATGTATTGGGTCGCTAGAAAAGTCATAACACAGTTTTGCATAGAAAAAATATGTCATGACTTTTCCAACAACCAGTATTTTTAGTGGGACGCACTCCTCAAACATTTGAGCTTGACATTTTTTGTTACGCACATAGAAAAGGGCTCATCAAATACGAGCAAATCAGTTGTAATTAAGGAGGCCACTTTTAGATTTCTTAGTTCTATTTGCTGGAATTCCTGCTTCAGTTTCCTTTGAGTGAGTGAAGGTGGGTTGGGAGGAGGAGGGGAAAGTATTAGAGGTCTCCAAAGTATGACCCGTCGCTCTCTGACCTTCTTTATCATGTTCGTATCTCCACCCACTGCCTGAGACCCAGGCATAACAGGCAAGGGTAGACCAGGTGTCCCTGGTGTCTTCCCTTTTCTCCTCTTTGCGTTTCTTGTTTTCTGTCCAGTTTTTTCTTTCCCCAAGTTACAGGTGCCTTTTTTCCTCTTAAATCTCAACATCGCACCCAGCAAGGCCCATATTTTGGGGAAAGTTTTATTTTCCCAAATTGTCTTTGCCGTTCCCATCCACAGGAGGTCAGGTGACACGATCTCTCTGGGTCCATTTGCTTTCAGAGTACTCTTAAGTAAGTCACTGCCTTTATCTTACCTTGACTTGGTTTGGCTAGCTCAGGGCAAGTGTTCTCTTCTGCTTGTGGGTAGACGTTGAGGGAGAGGACCATTAGGTAAAAATGGAATGGGGAAGTCACATAAGTTAAAAAAGTGAAAAGGTCTTTGCCATTAGTGCAAAAAACGTCCCTTCTTTTCCCCATCTATAAAATGTGTGAGCATATGGGAATTGAATAAACTCTTCAGGTGAAGTCCTACGTAATTAATCTGCATTCTTTCCAGAGTGATGGGTCTTAGTGTTCACGCTTGTGATAACTTAGCTTTGCTGAGTACAAGTCAATTGAGGAGGAAGAGGTTGTGGTGGAGCCATCATGTAACCTTTGTGCTACTGTAGTGGGGTGGGTAATCATCTTCGTTCTTCTTCACTCCAGTGCCTGAAACAGTACATGCAGCTGGCGATCCGAGAAGGCTGTGGCTCTCCCATCACTTGCCCTGACATGGTGTGCCTCAACCATGGAACCCTGCAGGAAGCTGAGGTATGCATAGATGCCATCACCTCCCCTCCCCTTACCCATTGACGTTATTTATTAGGATCTTCTCCTTACAGACCTCCCTGTGAGGACATCTGGCAACAAAATACAGAGGTTAGCTTGTTAAAGGAGCCCTTTATTGCTCCACATCTTGGGATTCTCTATATGAACTGTGAAAACTGTCATTTACGTTCATTCTAGTTACCATCTTCAGTGGTAAAGCTCTAGAATTGGTGAAAATGTTAGACATTTATTTTACCAGCTATGAGGTTTGGAGGCTGCACAGTGAGTGGTCTGATGATCTTTAGTAGTTTAAAGATAAGTAGACCGTGAATTAGCCACACCTACAGAAAATATCATGATCCTGCAATGGGAGCCCGAGTTGGGCCATTCCTGGAGAGCAGAGAGGCCTTTCAGTTGGTCTGTGTCAGGCATCAGAAATGTCTTTGTGTTTTGAATGAGTTTGTCTCCTATTTTTAAGACTGTGGTCTGTCTATCCTTCTTTCCCTCCTTCCCGTCCTTATTCCTTGATTTTGGCTTGCCCGTAAATCTGCCATTTGATCATCAGACCCAGCTCACTTTAAATCAGAATATAATGAACTCTTGTCCACCTTTAGGATACGCCCTGGGTGCCTTGGTAAGCCTCTGAAAGAGGTTCCGAGAAACAGATAAAATAACAAACACAGAACACCTGCTCTGAACCAAGCACTCATGGAGTTGCTTTTATAGTCAGAGTTCTTTCTAAGCCTCTCCACAGACCTCATCCAATTGGATGTTACTTTTAAATAGAGAAGCCAAAGCCCAGGGCGTTTAAATAACTTACCCAAAAGTGCATATCCAGAAAGTAGAAGAACTTGGATTCTAATGCTATTCTTTTCCAGTGCTGTTTCATGGTTTTAAGAGTAGAACTAGGTAGGCGGATGGAATGTATGATGAGGGACTTGATGATTGGGAACGCGAACGTGTACATATGTGTGTATGTGAAGATATATATACTTTGTTTATAAATAAATATATAGGCCTTTACATAGGAGGGCTCTTCAAAAAGTTCATTGAAAATATATACAGTATAATGAAAAAAATGCATGGTTTAAAAATTTTTCTATCAAAATAAACTTGTACTTTATTTCCATTTTTCATGAACTTTTTGAAGTCCCTCATATATATCCTTTGCTTTGTAGACTAAGCAGCCAGAAAGAGGATATGGATGATTTCTAACCAGTCTATATCCGAGCGCCCTGTGTTTAATTTATGGAAAATTAGTGGAGTTGTACAAATGAGCTAGAACTGTTTTTTAGGGAAGGATAAAAAGAATGCATAATGATTTAGAAATGGCTTGTCTTAAGAAATTTATGAAATAGCTTACATTTTTGATTAAAAGGTAATATTAAATATGTAAGTCCTATGGAGAGAAATATTATTTACTTCTGTGCGGATAATGGGTAGAAGAAAGTTAAGGAGGGGGGAAATCAAGAATTTAGTATTTAGAATACTGTTGGTCTATGTAATTTAGAAATTGTTTTTGACATGAGACTAGGGGAACTAGCCCTGTAGCCTAGTAGTTAAGGGAACCGGATCCCATGGAGCCAGTTGTGGTTTGAATCCTGCCCCAGCAGCTTGGAAAACATGCCAGGTGCTTGTGTCCCAAATCATGACAGGATGAAGACATTGAGGAAGAGGGGTTGTGATGTGCCCATGCTCCATCAGGTGGTACCTTCTCCCTCTGGCAACTTATTAAAAAAGAAAGAAAGAAAGGAAGGAAGGGAAGAAATGAGGCAGACAGCAAGACCTGTATCGGGTATGAAATCTTTAATTTAGGTCGCCAGATCCATTAAGCATAAACGAAACAAATGGTTCACTGAGATTTCAAAACAAGTCTATGGAGTAATCGAAGTTCTTTGTTATAGACCCATGCTGTCCATCAGTAGCCACTAGCCATGAGTGGTTGTTAATACTTAGATTAATTGAAATATAATAATAAAAATTTAGCTCTTCACTCACACTGCTCACTTACTGTGTTTAAGTGTTCAGTGGCCTCATGTGGACAGTGACTGCCAGAGTGGACAGGGTCTTGCCCTTCAGAGGTTCTTCCATCAGTGCCGAAAGAAGTTGCAAAGTATCGTTCTAGGCTTTTCGGTAAATGGTAACTACCGGCCGTTGACACTTTGGATATCGATGTTCAGGCTACACAGATGGGTGGATGAAGACAGGTCAGGGTTTGTTTCTCCTGTGTACGTTCTCGCTCATACTTTCCTGCTTCTGGTTCTGTTTATGCAGTTTTACACTGAAAGCAACTTTACTCTTACACTCTATTAAAAAAGCAAGCCTCCAATGGCTCTTGAAACAACACAAAAGTACATTTGGGGAAAAAAAAGAACAAAAACATATTTCAAGCAAAACTACAGTATTTCTTAAATAGCATAGATTATAGTATTTATTTTTTTAAGAATTATTTTATTTAACCTTATTTATTATTATTATCATTATTATTTTCCAGTTTGATCAGAGAGAGACAGAGAGAGAGAGGAAGTGAGAAAGCAAGCCACCAGGTCTGAGACTTGAACCATGGTCGACCATGTGGGAGTCCAGTGCCTTTAACCACCATGCCACTTGCCAGCCCCGATTATAGTATTTCTTAAACTCCCAAGTCTTTTTGTCATTAGACAAGTAAGAAGACACTCCAGGGTGTTAATGGGCCATTTCTGTTCCCATTGGTCTTGCTAAGAGCCTGACCCAAGGTGCCCACTAATATACAATACTCAAATGCTCTTAACCAACTGACTACTATTTGTTTTTCAGAGTGGTTAAAATAAAATGTGTTGGTGATTGATTCTCATTTTCAATTGAGAACCAAGTAGAAGTTATGTTGGAGGTATCAGCAGCTTCATCATTTTATATGGGACTTGACCTTTGAAAGGGAATCCACACACCTGTGAAAACACACACCCATGACCTTGGCCTGTACCCTGTTCCTGTCTGACTTGCTCTATATCAAGGTTTCATCCTGTGGCGTTAGGGTTGTGTTATGTAGGTCATAATCTACATGTCATCAAGTATGTCACTGAGGCTCGTTCACGTGACGTTCGACTGGATTCTGCTTCCATGATTCCTCTTCCTTCCACCTTTTACAAATATTTTTCTATACAGGCAGCACATAAATACACATTTCATGTTGAACAGAATTCCGGTTAAATCTGGTTCCCTTTGTCCTGCTGCCATTTCTATTACAATATACAATTCTTCATTATTCATTATCTTATAAAAGCCATTTATCAAGGACATTTTTCTTTACATAAAGTTTATTTATTTCTCCCTGGTGAGAGAGAGAGAGGAGGGAGGAGAGGGGATGATGACTCCCCAGGAGGGCTCTCACACCACCATCCACCTACAGTCTCAGCTCACCCAGACCACAGGCACAAACATACCAACGTACTCAGGGAGCTCCCAGGGTGAGAACCCAGGACCTTCTCATGTTACAGGTGTTTATACAAATTAGAGAAAAGGGTGGAACACAGCAGATGATATACCTGGATATGGAACTGATAATCATCATAAATGGTCAAGGCTTTGGCGATTTTTTAGGGGCCATGACTAGCACATACAAAGGCAAGACAAGCCAGCACGTGCTTCATGGATCAACGTCTAACCCCACTAATTTAGAAGCGACAGGTATTTTCTATCTCGACCCCCAGAATAAGGCCTTTCCTAGCAGAGAAGAAAAGTGCATATTCATCCAGTAACTTCCATTCAACAAACAAGCTTCAGTCTTCTTCCGCAAGTACTAGATACCAAGTCCTGGTTGGAAACACAGAGAGTCCCCACTGTCTGAGAGGCAGGAGGCAGGGCCCACCAGGGAAGTGAAAACGGGCGAGTAGGGACGCCAGGGCTGGTGATCATCGCTGCTCACCAGACAAGGTATATATAGATCAAAGCATTGCATTGCAGCCCATAAATACACACTGTTATTATTTGTCAGTTAAATAATTTTTTAAATATCAATTTCTTTTATACATTCAATTGCGTTGTTTAGCTGCAAAGTGAATATTCCACTATGTGTATATTTCTCACCAGTCCAGTTGACAATACTATAAAGTTATTTTCAACAGATAATAACCCATTTCTTTGTCCCATAAATGCTTTGCCTCTCTATTTTTCTCCTTAATGTCCTTTCTAAGACTCTATTCCTTCACCCACCCTCTTCCCACACTGTATCTGGTATTCACAACCATTTACTACGTTTCTGTATCCTTTAGTCATTCAGTTTTGGTCATAGAGTGCGGATACTCGGTATATAACTCTTTCTTTTTTAAATGGCCAGAAGGTGTGTTTACTCGCCAAAGAAAGAAACAGAGATAAACAGAGAGCAGGGAAAAAGGCACCACCCCCCACCCCCCGATGAGGCATAGTCACACCGCAATCCTGTCTCTTCCGTTTCCCCGTTCTTCTTCCAGTATCTCTGGCCTACACACATCTGTGCTTGGCATGATTTTCAAGTTTCTGGGGCCAGGCCATGGTTGACCACATGGAATTTAGTTCCCTTAACCATTAGGCCACTTTAAAAAATAAAGTTTTTGCCATAGGGGCATATATGCTTACCGGACAGAGACAAGAGACACAGAGAGAGGGAAATTGAGAAATAACTCCCCAGGGGGGATAGCCATGCTGCAATCCCTTCTCCGTTCTCTTCTCAGGATTTCGAGCACATATGCACATGTGCCCAGTGTGATTTTTCAAGCCGGCAGGTCTGGGTCTCAAACCGTGGTAGGCCATGTGAGAGTCAAGCACCTGAAGTGCCACACCGCCTGCTGGTCCAGACCCCCCACATTATTTTAAAATAAAAGTTGAAGCAGTGTTCTGATGTGATTTGAATGATTTTGAATTTGTTTAATAGCACAAAGAAGATAAATGTGTACCACAAGGCGTCTCTTCACATCTTTCATTATTCTTTGGGGTTGTCAAGTTAGCAGTTCAATTTAGAGTACCTTGAATGTTCTCACAAAATTGGTTCTAGCCCTTTTACCAGAGGTCTGACTGAGTCTTCGAATCACCATCCTAACGCACTTATTTTAGTTTTACAGTTGAGTCAATGGCGACCTTGAGCATGAGTGACTGAGTTCCAAGTGACAACAGAGCCACTCACTTGTTATTATTCTAAAGAACCTGATCCACCTTTCTCTCAAAGCCAGAAGAGTAATAGAAACATTCCAGAAAATTAGCTTTTATACCAGAAATCCAACAGACATGGTCAACGAGTAGAGTTTTAAAATCTATGTGTGGGAGCTAGCAGATGGTACAGGGGTTAAGATGCCTGGATCCCACATGACTGACTTTGTGATCCGAGTCCCGGACTCAGTGGCTTGAGAATCACACTGGGCATGTGTGCGTGCATGGCCGGAATTCCAAGAAGAGACTGGATAAGAAGGGCCTGCAGCATGCCATGCCCCCGGGGTATGATTTCCTACTTCCCCTCTCGCTGTCTCTCTACAGTGAGCACATGTATGTGTCCTATAGCAAAACTAAAAAAAAAAAAAAAAAAAGTGTATTTATTGCCTTCTGGGTTGCTTTACGTTCCTGGCATGCAGCTTCTGTTTCTTCTTCCTCGTATGCCCAGATTTCCAGCCCAGGGCTCTGCCTGTGGTAGGCTGCCAGTGAGTACGTGGGGAAGGTGCTAGTCTCGGGGTGGAAGCTGGGAAGAGATGGTGCATTTTGAGGGGTATCTTTATTCCAAGAGGATTAAATCAAATGGGCAGTGATGGGATTAACTTTTAGGGATCACAAGTCTCAATCGAAAAGTGATTTTACCTCACAAAGGTTCATTCCATTCAAACCCTTGACTTATAAAATAGTAAGTAGGGATTCAAAGTAGAATAAGAGACAAAAATATTAGAGACCTGTGGCATCCTTGTTGGCTGCAATGTGTACTCTGATGAAATTTATCTTTCTACTTTAATATTAAACACCCATCTCTAGTGGCTTTTTATTGCATTAATTTCTGTCATTTTCCTCATTAGCATTTCATCTCTGTCTAAAACATCTTCTTTCGTGTTTGCCTTGTCTTCCATAAATAAATGGTTTGACTTAGCTGTTACATAAATTGCTTGTCCTTGAACCATGAGAGGTTTCAGGGGTTGACTTTGAAGTTAAAAAAAGGTCTTCATCAGTCCACAGACTATTTTAGATGAGGGCAAGTGGGGTCTAGGACTGTCTCACTGAATCAAAGACTTCAAATAGCTTTGGGGGGGTGGTTAAAAATAGATTCACGGAGTATTATTGAGGTCTCTTGGGTCCAGATAGTATCTTCTTCAAGTCACCTCGGTCCAAAAGTCAAAGGAGCGTTCAGTTATTTTTCTCTCCACATTGGCTCAGCAGCCGAGTCCAGAGCTGACCTCTGTTCCTCAGTGGCCCACCTCATCTCATTTCCTTGCAACTTCTGTCTCCAACTTTGAATTTCATTTGAGTAACTTTGTCTTTCAGGAAAGATGCCAGGATATAACAGATGATCAAAGCTGGCTTTCCATGTAATAAAAGCCTAAATAACCACATTTAAAAAATAACTATTATAAAATGCAAGTAACATGAAATTGACCATACATTTTTTTTTTCCCTGTGAGAATTGCTAGGGATGTTTTATTTAAGGTACCAGATGAGAATGCATCATTTTCCCAACTGGAGAAAGAAAATGTGCATAAAATTTAAAAAATATTATTTGTTTCTTTCATGAATAAGAGAGATAGACACAGAGAGACAAGCGCTTGTAACTGGACTTCCACATTATGGTCCATCCCTGGATTGTGGGCACGCACACGCCTGATGCACACGCTCAGGAAGGTCTCCTGATGGGAACCTGCAGCCCTTCCTGCATGAGTCAGCCTTACGAAGCATTGTATTACTGCTGCACCACCTTCCAGTCCCTGGAGAAAAATATTTTCATAGCTCAATTCACGTTTTGTCAGACTTCACTTGGGGGGAAGTTGCGCCTTGGTTATTTCATGGCCCTTCATAAAATCAGTTGACTTAGTTTGAATCATTTACAAAATAAACCAATTGAGATTATTTTTTGGGGGGGAAGATTAGATATTTTTTTTTGTGGCTGTTAGTTTTTGCTATAGAGTGCATGTACTTGCTAAAGAGAGACAGAGAACAAGAGAGAGACAAAAAGTGAAAAATTGCCTCCCAAGGAGGATGACCATGCTTCAGTCCCTTCTCCAGTCTCCTCTTAGGAGTTAGGGCATGCATGCGCTTGCACCTGGCATGATTTTCTAGCCACCAGGTCTGGGACTTGAACCATACAGCTTGCCATGTGGGAACTAGCACCTTACCTTCCAAGCCACCTGTTGGCATCAAGGAAAGATTAGATTTTTAAAAAATGTATTTTCACATATATTTGTTAAATACAATTGTAGCTGCATCATTTTCTTACTCCAGTTTTCTTAAAGCAGAATTCCTTTTTTAGTTGCAAGAATTTTAAATCTATTAGATTCTCAGGAAAGTCACGATGCATTTTTTTGCAGAGAAAAACAGAAAAAAAAAAGTCATGACTTTGCTGGCAACCTAATAGATACCTTCTTTTTTTTTTTAATCAAAAAGAAATATCGACCTTCATCACTTAATAACCTACCCGTTTAACTATTGCTGGGACTTCATGCGGTTCTGCAGTACCGGGAATCCCCTTTCTCTGTTGTGCCAGTCTCAGGAAGCCCTTTTCTCAGTCTGTGTGTCTCGGGAATCCCCTTCTCAGTTTCTGTCTGTTCCTGCAAGGGGTTGGTATTCACTACACAGAGCATTGGCAATCACACAAGACTACACATTTCATTTATACGTGTGTACTTGATTGTGCACTCACAGTATTACTCAGAATGAATACAAAGGATTGTGTCGGATTTCTGTTGTGTGTTTAGTCACTTTCGGCACTTATTGGCATATATTTTTTGTGCGGATAGAATCACAGTATTCTAGGGTGGCGTCTTATGATACCTATTGCAAAACACCTATGCTGTGGTGGTAACACACCCCCAGACATTCTCCTTTAAACTCCTCACTTCGAATCGAGCAATTTGCTTAACGACCTATTCTCACAAATGGACCTCGGCAGTTGTTAAGGAGAGTGTCGATAGTGTAGATTTAGAACTGTCAAGGCTACGACTGTCTCTGTATCAACTTGCTAACTGTCTAGAAGGCTAATACCAAGTCCTTTGATTTTTTTCAGTTGTAAATCTTTTAATCAATGCCTAGGTGCTTACATCTTGACATCAATAGAACTAATATTTTTAGAATGCCAGTTTAAGGGCAGTCGGCGTTTTTTACATCTGCCTTTGGAACACAGTTTCGGAGTGATTAATCTGGAATGTCACATGCTTAGGTATGAATCATTGTCGTTTACTAGTAGACCTGGTTTATATTGTCGTCTGATGTGGGAATGTGGGAGTCCAGCCACAAGAAATGTTTTGGGCAATCTTTTATTTATTTATTTTTTTCTTTCTTTTAGACCAGGGTACAGGATGGCAGGCAATGCAGGGTATCTGAGGGGCTCCAGGAAGTGATTTTTGTCAGAAGGCATGTTTATATTGTTGGGGATGCTACTGTTTCCTTGGTGACAAATGATTTCTAAGGCCCTGTTTACCTGATCTTGGTTTGTAAGTTTAAAGCAAGATCTATGTCTTTTTAAAAATTTCTTAGATGAATGTAGAGAGAAAGGGCACATTTTTCATATATGAACACAAATATAGTCCAAGTAATACAATTTGATTGTCTGTCTTAGCATCGTTATATCAAAGAAGGGAAGATGGCCATTGAGTTTGTATTTGAACAGTGATTCCTAGCCATGGTAGAAAAATGGGGATGATTTGAGAATTGCTGCGTGTGAATTATTGAATCGACAGTGTAGAGAAAAGGAAGCAAACAACTGATTTAGAGGGGACCTAGTAAGCAAACTGAGAGAGAGACCTCATGACAGGCTGGTCGCTCAGGGATCTACGAGGACTGAAATCTCATCTCTCTAATCTCTCTGGTTTCAGATCGCCTGTTTGGTACCTGTGGATCAGTTTCAGCTTTATCAGCGGTTAAAATTTGAACGAGGTACGCATTCTTCTTTTAATCCTGCTGGTGATGTGGTTTTCCATGTGTCATCCCTGCACTAACCCGCATGGCAGATTGAGGCAGCTGTGGGCTGTCAACAAAACCGCAAGAGGGAAAACTATAATTACAACATAAACTTTCAGCTCAGAAAAACAGAGCAGGAAATAGAACTTTCAGGGTGTTGGTTGTTTGCATTTTTAATTTGACTGATGTGAGAAAAGTTTTGCGAAAGTTGGACGGTTTCGTAATACTGGTAATACAGAAGAAAATGAGTCTCACAGTGGGTTCGACCAGCGATTTCCCCACTGCAGGCAATCACTTCAAAACATTGACCAGCCCGACACTGTTACTGCACTACCTCCTCCAGGGGTCACCACTTGTTCTTTGTGTTCACTTTCTAAATCATAATAGTGGCTAAAAGCTTGGATATGTAACATTCTAATGTGATTTATAGTATATTGGACGGTTTTCTTGCTGACTTTGGGCTTGGAGTAATTTCTATAGCCTTCGCATTGACTATGTAGCCTGTTTTTCTGGAGGAATTGTATTTTCACTCCTTTTGGTTTTTTACTGGTCTTTTTACTTTTTTTGTTTTTGGATGTTTTTTTTTTTTTTTTTTGCTATAGGGTGCGTGCGCTTGCCAGAGAGAGAGCAGAGAGAGAGAAAGCGAGAAATCCCCCCCCTCAGGGGGCATAGCCACACGACAATCCCTTCTCCATTCTCCTCTCGGAATCTTGGGCACGCATGCACATGTGCCCGACGTGAGTTTAAGCCACCAGGTCCAGGACTACGAACTGCAGTCGACTACATGGGAGACCAGCGACTTAGCCGTTACGCTAACTGCTGGTCCCTCTTATTGGTCTTTTTTAAGGGGGCCCTTTCCAGTTTGCTATACCCTAATATATTCTTGAACTTAATGCTCTATTTTTTAGTATCTGAGAATTTGGAGAAAAATTATTTTCTTCAGCTCTCACAGAACTGATATAGTCTCATTGCATATACAAAAAAAAAGTTCTAATCTAAATGTTCTAATCTAGCATGAGCATCAAGTTTTCTGATTGCTGACCTTTTTTCAATAATTATTTAATTTTATTAATCATCATCATCATTATTATTTTTTAATTGAACAGAGAGAGACAAAGAGAAAGAGGGAAAGTGAGAAAGCAAGCCACCAGATCAGATTTAGGACTCGAACCGTGGTCAGCCATGTGGGAGTCCAGCACCTTAACTACTACGCCACTTGCTGGCCGCACTGACTTTGTTTATTTACTTGCCAGAGAGTGAGTGCAGGTGCTGGGGCTGGGGAGAGCACCTCCTAATGGGCTGTGGTCATCCCACGATCCCTTCTCCCCTATTCATTCTGTCAGGATTGGAGGGCACACACACATGAAACCAGCACGTGTTTCAAGCTGTCAAGGCTGGGGTTCACACTGCGGTTGGCCAGGGGGATCCAGCTCCCTTAACCACTGTGCTCTGGGGCCGGGATCCAGCTCCCTTAACCACTGTGCTCTGGGGCCGGCCCCGATTGCTAACCTGTCAATATGAACCAGTAAAATCTGGAGGTAAGGCTATGTGGGGGAGTGAACATTCATCTACTGTATTCTAGTAAGTTTGCTAAGCACAATTACCTTTATCTCATGTAATTTTTGCAACGACCTTGACAGTTCTTGCAGCAAAAAAGAAAACATGCAGAGTATGACGAGGGGCGGAGTAAGAATATTTGCAGGAGAGTCGTAGGGTGGCACTTGCTCCCTTGGCCAAAGATCTGACCTGCTCTTAGGACACTGACTCTTCTCAGCCAGCCTAAAGCACCGGGACAGATGATGTAACTACATGCATAAGGCTGGTGTGTTAAACTGAGTTAGCAACAACAAAGAACTTAGACCAGATGGTTTGAATTTCAAATGGCAGGTACATTTTTGCCCTCTGTAAAGATCTAGGTGGGAAGTCAGGAAATAGAATGTTCTTGCACGTGGATTCAGAACCGGGGAGTCAGACGATGCGTGGGTTTAGTGGATGAAGACAGTCTGGTGTTCCCATCCTGTGTGGGTCTAAGCTAACGTGAGAAACGAATGATGGAGGTCATTTATGTTGGCCCTCCCTAATCCAGCCATGTGGGTTGATTAGTTTAATTATTATATCAGATATTTAGTGACTGAATGTGATCGCAAAAGATGGTAAGGGAATACGTTCTTTGCCATTTTTCTTCTCTATCTCTGTGTTCTTCTTTATAGAAATTTATTATAATTAGAACATGGACACTCTAAATATTTGTCCTAGTGATGACCATAGCTGGTAGCCAGTGCCATGATTTGAGAGCTCTCACCTGGAGAAAAGCTGAAGCCTGAGGTTGGATTTTCAGGCTGCTGCTGCTTGTTTTAATTGTCAGCGGGCATGTGTGATCACCAGAGGGAGAGAAAGCACCACCCAGTAGACCTTGGTTGCACCACAGTCCTCTCCTCCATTTTCCTGCCTGTCAGGATTTGGGGCACACATGCATACACATACTCGGGGTGTTTTTTAAGTCATTGTGGTCATTGCGGCCAGGATTTGAACCACAGTCAGCCATGTGATACCAGCTCCCTATGCACAGGGTCCAACTGCTACACTTTGGGGCTAGCCCTAGGCAGCTTCTTAAACAGTGAGATGTGGCCCATCGAAGTCACCAGTCTTACTCAGGCCAGCGCTCCATCTCCTTAGCATGTTCCCCTGTCCCAGTGCCCCTCTACCACCCCATGACACTGGCCTCCTCCCTAGCCAGCTCCACTGCCCCGTCTGTCAGCAGCAGACCTGCCATTTCTAATGCAGAAGACAGCCTTATCAGCCCAACTACCTTCTTGTAACTAGTTAGACAAATTCTAATCGGACCAACAATTAAAACCATATGTGGGTTGATTCTTACTCATGTGTATAAATCTTTGGTTGCTTCTAAAAATAGTTGCCAATGGGGCCAGTGGGTGGCATGGTGGTTAAGGGCGCTGGACACCCACATGGCTCACCACAGTTTGAGTCCCGGATCTGGTGGCTTGCTTTTTCACTCACTCTCTCTCTCTCTCTGTCCCTCTCTGGTCAAATTAAAATAAATAAATAAATACATACATAAAGTTAAATAAAATAATTTAAAAAAATTGGCTAAGAGGGACCAGAAGATGGCATAATGGTTATGTTGGTGGCCTCCCACGTAGTTGACCACAGTTTGAGTCCCAGACCTGGGGACTTAAGACTCACACTGGGCGCATGTGTGTGTGTGCCCAAAATTCCTAGAGGAGAATGGGGGAGAAGGGATTATGGCGTGGCTATACCCCCTGGGGGGGTGATTTTTTGCTTTCTGTCTCTTCATCTCTCTCTGACTCTCTGGCGAGTACATGTGTCCTATAGCAAAAATCTCTCTTAAAAACAATAGTGGCTAAGAGCCTGAGTGCAATTGCAGACTTCACCTACTGGTCATGTGACGACAAGCAAAGTACTTAGCATTTCTGTGCCTTGCTTTCCTCATCTGTAAAATGGGGACAGTAATAGTTACTACACTGTAGACTTGAGGGTTTAATGAATACTTCTACAAGTGTTTCCTGTGTCTCAGTGTTCCCGAGAGGAGGATGGAGGAGAAGGGATTACGGAGTAGTAATCCCCCTGGGGGTGATTTCTCACTTCCCCTCTCTCTATCTCTGTCCCTCTAGTGAGTACATGCACCCTCTGGAAAGAGGGGGAAAAAAAAAAGACTGGCATATTCAGTGACCTCATTGTCTGCTCAGTTTGATTTTTTGATGCCTTCATCTGTCCTTAGTCATCATCTGCTCACCTGTGTGCGTGCGCTCTTCTTGAGCCCACATTTCTGGCATTTTATGGTAAATGTGTGACAAGTCGAGGGGTTCCTTCCTGAGATTTCCCAGGCTTTCTCCTCAGTTTTATGCTCCCTCTGCTTTTCCAGCCAGTTCTTTCCTATGGATCAGTTTTAAATCTAAAATGGCACCTTCTAGATAGGTCAGTTTCCCTCAGAAAGACTGAAGTGTGTGCAAGACATGACGTACCTGTATCAGCAGATGGGGAGATTGCTGAAGAGGACCTGAGTGAGGAGACAACCTTGCCTGCCTGCCCCGTGGGGACTTCTGTGTCCTCTATCGTATAACACGAAGGGGGGATGATAGCGGAATGATGGTCCTAGGGTTGTGAAGAGTACATGGGTTAATATTGTACATGTCTTAGTAGGCATTCAGTGATCGGGCACTGCCATCATCATCATTTCTATCGTCATCATTCACCGCCATTGCCACCAAACCTTACCTTTTCCCAATTTTCTAAACTGAACTAAGTCAACATCTTCCAGAATTTAGTTCCTACTTTGGGCTGAGCGTATAGCGCAATGTTATCATTTTCATTTTCTTTTCATCTTAATTAAAGTCTTGCTCAGCATGCTTCCATTCTCATTGTTCTAGACTGTAGAGAGTTGTACAGAAGCTTGATGATCAGGGCCAGCTCCTTACCCCTCCTAGCGTATCAGTTTCTTTGAATACGGGCTCCTCTTCCTCGAAGCGTGAGTCCTACCATCACTGACCACCTCCGAGGAGGTCATGGTGGAGCATGATCTGAGGTGGAACATCCAGGGTCGCCACTTGAAAGAGAAAAGGTTTCCATGGTGATTGTGGAAGTGAAAATCTACTCAATGTAATGATGTGTTTTCATAGACAGTGGTGTGGAGAAAAAAGGCCCGATCCTATCATATACTCAGTAGCCATGAATGAAGCCAGCTCCTCACTTCTGTGGGTTCTACTCCAACAGCCCTAGACTAGATAACCTGAAAGGTTGATTCTGAGTTTGAAATGCTGTGGCTCTCTTCAGTCTTGAGATCATTCCCTTTGATGCTGGCCACCTCTGTTTGGGTATATTTGCTGTAGCAGATGTTAAATCTGATCCGTTTAGTTTAATTGCATTTTAACTATCTGCAGAAGACCTTTATTCTTTGAGATAAGAGAAAGCAAATTAACTTTGGCATAATTAAAACCGCGATGGGTCATAAAAGTTTGAACAGTTTAATTTATTTCAACTGATAATTAAATTAACTTGGGTGCATGAAGTTTCCCCACAATAATAAAAATTCATGCGACGTCGTTTTTGGCTCAGCCTCACAGAGGTGGAGGATGGTGGAAGAACTGCTCATGTTAGTTGAAGGCATAGACACAAAATAAAAAGCAAATTCCACGTGTGTCGTGCTGATGGTGCCAGCCAGGGCAGAAAACCAAGGCATGTGGACGCTGCTTTTGTGAACTGAAAACTGCCCCAGGGTCAGGCCTGATCCTTAAGTCCCATGACAGCTCGAATTTCCCACCTCTTTCCCAATAGTTGTCAGAATGCAGAAGTAGAGACGAGTTTTAAGTAGGATTTCCTACCTTATATACTTTGCATGACTGTCCAGGGTCTGTAGATCAAGTACCTGTGAGGCTTGGCTTCAGCAATCCGTTCTGCTCTCCATAAGTAAATTGCAGTTCCTGTCGGACTTTGTCTATCTCTGCTGTGAGCTTGTCACACTCAATCACTTCTTAATCATGTTCGTATTAAAGTCTAGAGGTACTGTTGTTTGGGGACTGACTGACAGTTTCCTAGTTCTCATTTTCTAAGTTTCTGGACTTTCCTCCATCTCAGAGCTACTTCATGTTTTCATCACTGCTGATGCAGAAGAAATGAGCTGAATGTGCATCAGTTCACTTTCTTCTAGCTTTGTAGTCAAAATTCAAAGGGGGAACAAACCTTAAACTTTTTGCATAATATTGTTAGTTACTTACTTACTTACCTACTAACTAACTAACTAACTAACTGCAGAGTGCGTGCATTCGCCAGAAAGAGAAAGTTTTTAAGCTGGTGCCAGGTTGAGACTTGAACCGTGGTTAGCAGTGTGTGAATCCAGTGCCTTAACCACCATGCCACCTGCTGGACTCTGGATGCTGTAAATTTTAACAGTAATAAGTTTCTTAACTTTCCCTGCCCTTATTTTTCTTTCCTTTTTGTCCAACTTAGAAAAGACCTCTGATTTTGAGTGGGTGGTAAGCAGATATTTGATGTGGGAGTCCATGGCTCTGAGTTGCAAACCAGCTTCCCTTTAAGCTTAGGATTTATGAAGCAGCTGGAGCAATCTAAAAGAAACTGGTTCATGGTAAAAATAAGTAAATAAATAAAAATCAAGACCAAGACTTTATTCATTGTCATTATTTTCTTTCTTTCTTTCTTTCTTTTTTGAAGTTGACCAGAGAGAGACAGAGAGAGAGATAACAGGAAAGTGAGGAAGCAAGCTGCCAGGTCTGGGAATCAAACCACTACGCCATCTGCTGGCCCCAAGACCAGGACTTTAGATCCCATGTGTGTCACTGTCCCTTCAACTTCCCAAAGCTAGCTAGCTTGCTTGCTTGCTTGCTTGCTTGCTTTCTTTCTTTCTTTCTTTCTTTCTTTCTTTCTTTCTTTCTTTCTTTATCTATCTTTTAAAGAGATTTTTGCTGTAGGGTGCATGTACTCACCAGAGACACAGAGAGACAGAAAATGAGAAATCTTCCCCCAGGGGAGATGGCCACTCCACAATCCCTTCTCCTCCATTCTCTTGGGATATTGGACATGCACGCACATGCGCCTGGCATGAATTTTAAGTCACTGGGTCCGTAATCTAACTGTGGGTGACTGTGTGGGAGTCCAGTGATGTAATCATGACGCCATCTGCTGGTCCCCAACTTCCCAAAGTTTTAGGGCTCTTAGAGGCTCTATTTCTCTTGAGCTATAAGGATCTGTGAGTCACAGGACCCCCCCCTTCCGGTTACACTTGTGTCAAGGCCCATCGCTGTCTAAGGGTGAGAAGGGGAGAGAGAAAGTTCTTTTTGACAAAGTCTCACTGTGTCACGATTTTCCTGCCCCACCCTCCTAATTAGTACAGCTAGGATTACAGGCATGTGTAGCTATGCTGGTGTGCTCAGGTTGTCCCGGAAACCAAGCTCATGTGATCTCCAGCCCCCCAGGCAGTGGCACTGTCTATGTGCCATGACTGGGCAAGGCAATATATTTAGAGATGCTGTTTTTGAATGAAAATGTAAAATAAGGATAGATTGAATTTCACTTTCTAGGTAAGACATCAGTGGAAACAGTGTTTACTGGAACATTTCACTTTTTTCTCATGACATAGAAGTTGTAAAATTAAGTTCAGAAGCTAAGCTCCTACTTAATACCTCCACATCCTGTTTGTACTTGCTGGGCCTCCTGGGTGTAGGTTTGCAGGAATCATAGGTCTTCAGAGGTTCAAAACTAGAGCTTCTGGGAGCAGCAGATGGTGTAATGGTTACATTGCTGGGCTCCCACATAGCTGACCATGGTCTGAGTCCTTGACCCAGTGGCTTAAAACTCACGCCGGGTGTGTGTGTGTGTGTGTGTTGTGTGTGTACGCCCAAAATCCTGAGAGGAGAATAGAGGAGAAGGGATTGTGGTGTGGCCATCCACGCTGGGGGGTGATTTCTTTCTGTCTGCCTCTCCAGTGAGCGCATACGCCCTAACCAAAAACCTCTCTCTCTAAAAAAACAAAAACCAAAACCAAAAAACAAAACTAGAGTTTCCTAAGTTCAAAATTTACAAAATGTGTTTGTTCAGAGAAAAGGGGGCTACTCTACCCCTCACATAATACCGTTTTTCTATGTTCTCTTAAAGACCACATATGGAGAAAGCGTGGTTTCTGCTATTGAATAGAAGCGAAAACTAAGGAATAATTAACACTCTAACAACGGTCTTTCCTCAGCTCCCCTCTCCTGAGTGCCACGTGGACTAGCTAGTGGGCCGAGGCTGGTTCTGTGGAAGCCCCTGCTTCCTGTCTCAGAGCACACGTGTCTTCTACACATTGTCTCACTAGCCCGTGGGTACGGCAGCAGAATACCCAAGTGGCAGGTGGTCTGACTCCTCAGCTCAGCCACACCGTCTGCTCTGTGTCCCTTATGCAGTTTGCTCCCTCCTCGTTCTTTAATTTCTTACCATATAGCAGAAGAAACCTCGCAGTCTACTGCTACCTTCAGTGACTGAAAGGACAAAACTTTATGTGCAAAATGATTTTTTCCCTCTGCTTTGGCAGATTCTTTAATTTTTTCTTTCTTTCTTTTTTTTTTTTTTTTAGAAGTTTTTGCCTTAGGGCGTGTGTTGGCCCCAGAGAGACAGAGACAGTGAGAAGCAAGTGAGAAATCACCCCTCCGGGGGTATGGCCATGCCTCCGCAATCCGTTCTCCTCCATTCTCCTTGTGGGATCTTGGGCACGCATGCACTTGGCGTGATTTTTCAAGCCACTGGGTCCGGGGCTTGAACTGTGGTCGGCCATGTGGGAGTCAAGCGACGTAACAGCTACACTGTCTGCTGGCCCCATTGGCAGGTTCTTTATGCCCAATTTTCTTTCAGTGTAGTGCCCAAAATAATTGTAGGAGGGACTTCGGATGTTTGCCTATTTTGAGTGCTCAGAGGTGTGAAATGGCCTGCAAATTTGGGGCAGAGAGAACCCTCCCCATCTGCTCGTTAAGACAGTGGTGGCCTATTCCATTAGCACCTGCCTTGAGAAACGGGACAGTGCTAAGTGACTTGCGCTCAGTGATCTCGGATCCATTTTGAAGACAAACACCAGAAATCATTACTCTTGGTTGGGTTATACTTCAGTAATGTTAACTATAGAGAAGGGAAAAGAAAAGGGAAAAAGCCTCAAGCTGAAATCCAATCTTTTAAAAATTTGCCGTAAGGCTTGTTTTCTTGCTGGAGAGAGACAGAGAAACGGAGAGACAGGGAGAAAGCACCCTCCAGGGAGAATGGCTACACTCTACTCCCTTCTTCTCCATTCTCTTCTCAGGATTTGCGACATGCACGCACATGTGTCCAGCATAGTTTTCAGGCTCCCGGGACTGGAACTTGAGTTGTGCTGTCAGTCATGTGGGATCCAGACACCTTAACCACCACGCTACTGGCTGGCCTCAGAGACAATCACATTTTCTTTCTTTATGCTTTAGAAGTTCACCTGGACCCCTCCCGAACATGGTGTCCTGTAGCAGACTGTCAGACTGTGTGCCCCGTTGCATCGAGTGACCCAGGACAACCCGTGCTGGTAGAATGCCCTTCCTGCCACCTGAAGTTCTGTTCCTGTTGCAAGGATGCCTGGCATGCAGAGATGTCCTGCAGGGAGAGTCAGCCCATTGCCCTGCCAACGGAGCATGGGTAAGAAGGGAGCTTTGTCCTGTATTCACTAATTTCCTTAGAAACTCAACATATATTGCTTGTTACCTTGTGGTGTGACATTTAGGGACTGGTTATTTCCCACAGTACTGTCCTGCCCTAAGAAGTGTCTCAGAACTGGTAACTTGTCATCAATGAATAGCCATGAAAGCATCTCTAAAAGGGATTTTAGTCCTGTTCCCCAGGAGAATCGCCAAGCTGTTGCCGAAGTTCGAGCGTGAGTTTGCCTTCTCCATGTAGAGAGCCACCATGCTTCACTGGTTCTCAGCAGGAGGTCATGGCTTGTCTCGGCTGTTTGCGTGGATACCACTCCTGCGACCATTGCTATTAACGTATCTCGTTCTTCCTACCCGGGAAACGGGACCGAAGTTATTTCTTCCCTGACTGAATTGTCGGCTCGTGAAGTGTGCCAATCATCTCAGAGAGAACGCAGCCATGGAAACAGCAGCTCTGCGGTGGACTCTGGGGGGGGGTGTCTTCAGAACAAAAGGAAAATGTGAATCATGAGAAAACTATGACTGCGTTTCGAAAACCTTGGCATCAAAACAAACTTGCACTTTAATTCCAATTATCTATGAATGTTTTGAAGTCTCCTTACATAGCCCAGTGTTCTCAGATAACATAGGAGGAAAACTCTGTAATACTCCATGATAGAATGGTGCCAAGGTTAGGATTTTGTCAGGAGGAGAACAGTCCAGTTAGTACCTTTCATTGCGGAGGGTTTTATGGCAACAGCCAGTGAGAGACCTTTGTGTTTGATCCCTTGCTTTGCTTGAGGCCATGGCTGTCCTGCATCAGAAAGAACAAACTACCAGCCCGGTTGTCACAGTCCAGGTGGCTTAATCACCCTGCACCCTCAGAATGGGCAGAACGGGTCTCCAGGAGCAGTAATGCTCCCTGGCTCTGCATGGACTTCAGACCAAACCAATTGAGAGCCAAAAACAGACCTAAGAGCATGGTAAGCATGCACCCTCTTGGCCAGACTTCAACCTCCACCAGCGGTGAGCTCCCTGGGTACCACAGGGCAATGTAAGGGGCTCAAAGGACAGGACAACTGAGTTTCGACACTGTCGCTTGTTACCTGTGTGTCCTGATACAAGCCACCCCACTTGTGAGTCTTTTACCCATCTGCAAAAAAAGGGAGTTAGGGTAGCAAGTGCCTCACTATTACCAAGGGGCTCCAACAAGTTCAGGAAACATGGAATTGATGTATGAATTTATTTTGGTGCAAAAAATTGAAATCCATGCATAGTTGTTTTTCATAATATGCATTCTCCATGAACCATTTGAAGACCCCTGTATGTAAGGTTACGGCCCAGGCCAGTAACCTGACGTAGATTTGGCATCACTCTCTACGAGTCCCTGTCTTGTGACTAGGTGCTTCTCCGTCTCTTCCACCCAGTTTGGGCCATTTGCTATTTTCTAGACTTGTACTGTCTATCTATATGTATTCAAAGGTTTTTTTAATGCTGTTGGATGTTTATTTTAAAGTATTGATGACTGAATCCCTTCCCTCCATTTATTTGATAAACAGATTCTTAGACGGTTATCTCTACCCATTTTGGATCCCGGGGTAGATTGGCCAGGGTCTCTGACTCCTTGCATTTTTTATTCACACCATGTGTGCTGAGAGAATGGGATATTAATTTAGCAAAACAACAAGTGCAATCAGCTCTGGAAAGTGTGATTGTAGAATTCACTCAAAACTAGAATAAGTCCGCTCACTCTTTCTTGCATGAGTTATCCCCATGGCGGAAACTTGGCACCCCTCCTGTGTCCAACCCCCTCACACTTTCCTTTGGCAATACGTTGAGCATGGATCACTGAGCATCTATTACGTTACCCCCTGGGCATGCCTGGAAGTCACAGAGAGCCACCAGCTGAGACTCTCTCTCATTGCTTTTGTTTCTAGGACCCTCTTTGGGACGGACGCGGAAGCTCCCATCAAGCCATGCCCCGTGTGCCGGGTCTATATCGAACGCAACGAGGGCTGTGCCCAGATGATGTGCAAGAACTGCAAACACACATTCCCCCGCTCCCCGGCTGCCCCGCTGCCCCGCTGCCCCGCTGCCCCGCTGCCCCGCTGCCCCGCTGCCCTGCAGCTAGCCTCCCGCAGATGTACCTGTTAGAACAGAGGGCCCGTTTGTGTCTTGCAAAACAAATGAATTTTTCTCTCTGAGTCTTCCTGAGCTCGCTCCTTTAGAGAGCTATGAAACCTCTTCTATGATCATCGGCGTGTTGCCTTAGCTTTAAAAGCACGCTTTCGTTTTAGGGGCATGTCTGGCTTTGGAGGCATTGTCTCACTCTATAGTAAAGGGACTATGAGTTTATTATTATTGCATGTACGTGTACAAAATTAGGGTATTCATTATATGTTTTATTTGTATAGACAGAGCTAGGTATTGGGTCGTCGGAAAAGTCATGGCACACGCTCAAGGGAGAACCTGTTTTCTTGCTTTTTTTTTTTGCTTTCTCAAAGTCACTGGCATTCCTTGGCTTTGGCTGCCTCTCTCCATCTTGAAAACTAGTCATATCATTCCTTTCTGGCCCTTCTTCCAGAATTATTGCTGAATTTGAACACCTTTGGGAAAAGTTGTCCACCTTTAAGGACCCATGTGATGAGAGCGGGCCCACTGGGACAGTACACAGTCATGTCCCCATCTCGAGTTCCCTATTTAGGCAGACTCGCACTGTCCCTGCTGTCGGGTAACGAAGCACATTCACAGGTTCTGGGGTTAGGCTGTGGGCATCTTGGAGGAGCAGTTACTCCGTTTACTGCAAGTAGGTGGCTTTCTTTTCGAATTTAAAAGAAAAATGTGGCCACTCAGTGGTGTCCCTTAACCAACTCTGTCACTCATCCATTGGCCTGTGAGCTCCTTGTCCCTCTTTTGTCAGCGTCCTTCCCGAGATCAGGAGGCTTGGCCTAATGGCTGTCTTCTCTTTCCATTCAGGAAGCATGTCTTCTCAAACTCAGTCTCATTTTCATGCCGCCCTGGGTCAAGCCTAATGGTGACCCCAGGGTTCAAAGGCGGTGTGAAGGATTGATAAGAGGTCTAACTTCAGTCTTTTAAAGTTTGGGGCAGCACCCCACCGCAAGTATGTCCCCACGGCTCCACGGCTAGAGGGATTTCTTTTATCCTTTTTTATTTTTAATTGCCAGTGGACACATGTGCTGGGATGGGAGAAAAAGAGCGAGCACCCCACAGTGGGGTGTGGTCAGTCCTTTCTCCTCCCTTTCTTCATTCTGTCAGGACTTGAGGCCTGCACATACGTGCACTGAGCTTGTTTCTCAAGCCACCAGGGCTGGAGTTGAACCATGGTCGGCCATGGGGGATCTGTCTCTCTGTGCACAGGGCTTAAGCACCGCACCATGGGCTGACCCTGGAGTGATTCCTGATGGACAAGATCCAGGGCTACTGCTGCCCTGACCTTGCCTGCATTCTCCCTGGTTGATATTTCGGCCACCTCTTTCCAGTGGCACTGCTTCTCCGGGCCTTCCTTCCACCCTTCTGGCCACGTCTCAGCTCCCCTTCCAGGTTCTTCCATGAGCCATGCCTAAATGCCTGTGCTCGACAGCTTCTTGGCTACCCAGTCTACACGTCGCCCTGGGTAACCTCCCACCCCACAGGCCCTGGTGCCTGTGTTTTCCCCAAACCCAGACCTAGTCACGAGCCACCTTTTGAGCAGTCGTGCCCGAATGTGCCGGCTGTCTGTCAGCAAGTCCCAGACATGGTTATCGCCTTCCAACAAAACCCACCTCTGCTTTTCCTCACTCTGGACGGAGTCCCGGCCTTCATTGCAGCCGGCAGTTTCCCCTCATCTGTGGTTTCTTCTCCATTCCTCCATCTAGTTATTTACCTTCTTGTCTCTGAATTGATTTGTTTATTTGTCAATTTATTATTTATTTGGGGGGGCAGGGAGAGAGACAAGGCACCTCCAGTAGGATCTTTGCGCTGTGATCCTCCACCTGCCCTGCAGGCGGGACCGCAGGTATGCCTGGCGTGAACCAGAGCCTTCCTGCATGGCCTCTGGCATTTCCCAGCAGCACCCCTCTTGCCGGCCGCACAGCAGGTGGGGCTGGCCAGCGCCCTTCCCCATGTCCCATGACTGCAGCTTGCTCATCTCCACCCATCCCCGTCACTGGGCTCTCTCGCCTGGTTTGTACAACTGCGTCCAGCTGCCTCATTCCCACCTTCCCCTCGCCCTGCACCTCACTGGGGCAGCCGCTCTGATGTCCTCGAC